TTTATTATATAGTGCAACAATATATTACACTATTTAGTACACACATGCAGAGTAGTTATTAAGTCTTGCCGTCAGATCTTACCCGGCAATTACTCTACACCTATTCACTATATTGTATAATGATAACACGCTCGCGTATTCCTAGGGCGTGTGTAAAATTTTTGTCGCATGGAAATGAAGCAATCCCGTTAATCGCGATCGACGTACTTCATCGACACCGCGAACGGTTTCATTACGTACGGGTAATTAATGAAACGGAATGCCGGAATGCACTCGTGCGTGAAGAAAAACGCCTCGTATTAATTACCGGAATAATTTATAGCAGGTTGTAACTCGGATTTCTCTCTCCCTCTTTCTCCCAGAATAAATGTACATTTACATTACTGGCACTTATACATTTATGATCGCCGATTCGCGTCATCGATCGCTATATTCGAGAATTATTCGAGAATTACACCCTGACTGACGGACAAATTTATTTCTTTCTCCCTCTTTTATATAAATTTTTTACATACTAATATTTTGAAATTTGTTTTAAAACGTTTTAAAACGTTACGTTAAATTTGTTATACATTACATTTTTATACATTAAAATTTTGTTATATTTAACTGTATTCTTTTCAAATTGTCGACTCGTTTAGATTTGTACATAATTTCTAAAAGGCTATGAATTATTTTACTTTTTATAAAAAAAGCGTTAGTTTAAAAATACTTAAAAAGAATTTTATATTTTCTTGAAATTTAGTAAAAATTTACATTAACAAATATTCATTTTTAGCATCTAAATGAACTACGTTTTATTGCCCTTGTTTGTTTTATGGAATGTTCGCGCATTTGTATATCTTAAACGAGCTACTGTTTTTTTCAAAGAAAGCGTAAACGAGAACATGCCGGGTACATCGTAGACACAACATACGCAGCTTTCACTATTCACTTTGTTACTTGTAGCTTTGCAACGCGCACATAGCACATGGCAAGAAGAGTAATTTAGTAATTATTCAATTTATTGCTTCCTTCTGCTTTGCTATCGAATTCATCAGAAGCAAACTTGTTTCGAATTTACACTTTCAGTCGTCTACAAATTAGCTAACTCAGTATACACTGTTCCCTATTATCATATGGAATTATTATCAAGCTACATAAATAGAATCTCCGGTATCCATATCTAATAATGTTAAAGCTAAATAGCGCGCGCGAAGCGCGCGTCTGTAGTGTCTAGTATTAATAAAATCCTCAATGAATCTTCTTTGAACATTTTCTTTTTAATAAACAAAAAAATAAAAATAAGAGCTAAAGAGAGGACGTGCTATAACTTTTTGTCTTAAATAAGCCACGAAGTATAGATGTATAACTTATATATTCGTACTTACAGTACGCATCCCCTAATATTTTTCAGTTTTATATTCAACTTATATTTAATAATTTCAAGTACCTGCAAATACGAGATAAATTAATATCAGTAACGTCATTGGTACGACATAACGATAGACTCGGAAAATTGCAGGCAAAATGACTCAGAGGCCATTCGGGTTCGTTAAGGCGCGTATAAAAACCCAATCCCCTACTCATCATATAAGTTTACCCGTCGAATACGTAATACGTCTTGCATAGCTGATGTGATTATACATAGAATATACTCGTATAACGAGATATCCCGCCGACATTTCTTTACCTTGATTATTCCGTAGAAGTTAGTTTTGCTTAAATCCCCATGACATTCGAAAAGTTTTACGTGTTCCTAACTTATGTATGTATATATAATTTAATGAGAATCATATGCATATATATTGTTGTTTAAAATTAACTAGATTCTCTCTAGAATCATACATATACTGTTTGTATTTATATTAGTTATAAATTAAAATTACGCACTGACAGTAGAAATAGAAATATTCAGTAAACATTTATATGAGATAGGCATGATTAATATGAGAATAACTCTTATTTTCTAGGCTTTCTAAGTCACTCTTGCCACTTCACGCAAGCAGGACTTTACTTTGTATGTTACTACTGTTGCTTCTTTCATTGGAACTGTACGAGTCCATATTGACGTTAATTTCATTGTCGTCGATCTCAACTATGATTGCTGTATTATTTTGTTGGATAATACATCGCGAAACCGAGATCAGAGATGGCTTTGGTACCGCCGTGTCGGGAGGTGGATTTACGATAATCGGTCTCTCACGAGCATGGAAGTTTTTATATTTATGCAGGTATACACTATCAATAATTATTAATATAAAATGTAGACTTATAAATTATGCCTCGATCGGCTCTCCTCGATTAATGGCTAATCTTATTAAGACTCTAATTAAATATTATTATTTAATAATTAACTTATCTTGAATTTCATATATTTCTTAAAATGCTTTTTTATAGATTCGGCCTGTCCATCCAATACGTTCGCGTTGCAACAACGGGGATCACCGCCGCTTGTTGTGGATTCCTAGCTATTATTGATTCTTATACCCTTTATCGTATGGTAAATTTAATTCAAATTAATGTTCAAAAGCAGACATTTTTTAAGATGATATATTATGCATAAAAGAAGATATTCCGTTTTAAAGTTCTAAAAAAGACTTGGGCGATCTAATTGTTTTCTTAGAGGTTTCCTTCCATTATGTTTCTTCTTAAAACGTGAGAAAACCTTTCAAAATGCGTACTATCGGAACTTGCAGCGAAGTACTTGCAAATGTTCGCCGTCTCGCTATAGAGCCGCATTAAAATCTTGCCCACCCCGTTTGGATTTACGACTTCCTTGACTCGATAAAGGCAAACAGCATTTTCAGCGTTTTACTACTCCGTCTTTTTCTAACGTAGAATATCGGATGTATAAACATTGCGTCGCCCGGCACTTCAGCCAATTTTCTTGCTGCAAATATATTTGCCACGATGATGTTTCGTCATTAGATGCAGAAGAGCAGGCGGTACACCGTTAAGAAGCCCGATAACGTTAGAAACTCCTACATACACTCTACCTCGCCATTCCTCAGCAGGATCACCTTCTACTGGGTGACTGACCTGTTGTTGCGCGGTTATCATACGCCGCTTGAACTCCACGATCTTGGACAACTTCCGGAAGAGGAGACCACGAGGAACCAGTTCGAACGTTTTCGCGAGATTTACGAAATCGAAAAAGTAACATTATTTATACTTCCTCCTTCCAAGAAAAATTAAAAAAAAAATAATTGTACCACTCTTGTAATAACTGAGATATCCAAGAATAATTGAAATATGTATTTATTAGAGATTACATTTAATATCATAAGATTATCATACAATATAACTCTTTATTATATATAATTATTAATATTTATTACATTTTTCAACAAAATTTTAATTCAATAATTGTCAACATTAAATTATTAAAAGTAATTTTAATAACTGCTAAAATCAAAAGCTTACCGAAAAAATAAGGGTGATTTATCTTTTTGTGTTCTCTATGTATACATTTATAACATAAATCCAGTTTAATTAAATTCTTAGCTGCGATGCCGTGGACGGAAATTGTCTTTATGGAAATGTTTCTGGAAACGGATATGGTTGACTTTTGCGACGGGTAGTGTTTTGAAACTTTTCGGCGACGCTGTGACTTTGGTGGGTCCCATGACGATTCCGAAGATCATTAATTATGCGTCAAATCTGCAAAATAGCACCGTGACGAATAAAAGTTTTCCTTCGAAGGTATATCTCTCTACTATCTTTAAAACTCATTTTTATTCTTTACTTTAATACGCCTAGCCATCTAAAGATTAATTCTTCAGGAAGCCATGACATTTTCCCAAATTCTGAGAAATGGATATTTCTTGGGGGTAGTAGTTTTTCTTGCCATCATTTTGCAAAGCACGTTAAAGCAAGCCTCCACTCACGTGCTCTACGTCGGAGGAATACGTTTGCGAACGGCTCTTCAGGTAATTTTATTTATTTCTTTTTCATTATTTTTTTATGCGTTCGAACTTCGCGAGATATATCGAATAAAACTCGTTGAAATTTCATTGAATTAGGCACTGATATACGACAAGGCACTTCGATTATCTTCTTGGAGTATCTCCGAAGAAGAGAAGCCATCTGACAAAAATAAAGAGCAGCAATCTCATCAACAAGTAGCTGACGTTGGAACTTTGACGAATCTCATGGCCGAAGATGCATACAACGTAATGAATTTCTTCTGGTTCGTTCATTACATCTGGGCTGTACCATTAAAAGTAAAGACATTTAAATAAATGGATATATGCATGTGCTTCGTGTATCTTATTACTTAAAATTTCACGGAAGAACGTTTGTCAAATCGCACAAATATCATCGCACAAACAAAATACTTTCTACATACAGATTACCACCATCATTTTCCTTCTGTACTTGAAATTGGGTATCAGCGCGATTATCGGCGTAATTTGTTGCATATTGATCGTCACGCCGTTGCAGCTGCTACTCGGGAAACGAATGTCCGAAAATTCCAAATCCATAGCGGTAAGGAAGTGAAACATTTTCCAATTTTCTTCCTTTCCTTGAGTCTTCAATTGTCCGATCTTTAATTATCTTTTAGGAGAAAAGCGACACGCGCCTTCGTCTACTTAATGAAATTCTTCAAGGGATACGGCTCATTAAGTTACGGGCCTGGGAAAATCTTTTTGAAGATCGCATATGCAGAGCCAGGGATCAGGAATTAAAGCTGCTAAAAAAAGACTCCGTTTACTGGACGCTCATCAGTAAATAATTCTCTTAAAATATCTATTACTTAATATACATTTCTAGATTTTTATTTCGCTTTGATCTTCACAGGAAATCAGAGAGATAATCGCTGTTTGCTAATAATCTTTTTATAATATGATAATTCTTATAATTTAATAATTCTTGTAATAATTTAATTGAAAAAGAGAGCTAGGTAAATTTATGCATTAATATTACAGACTTTCTGACGCATGTCTTTTCCGTCTTGGTATCTCTCTTCACATTCGGAATTTACTTCTGGTTGGAGAAACGAAATCTCGATACGGGGAACGTTTTTGCCAGTCTCGCGCTCTTTTCGCAGCTAACTATGCCGCTTTTCATCTTTCCGATGATAGTGCCGATTATCATCAACGCCATGGTGAGGAATAACGTTCTCGAGATACTACTCTTTGAATTTAATCCCCTTAAATTCGAGACATTCCTTCTTATTCCGGTTTGCAGATCTCTACAACAAGACTAGAGAAGTTTTTTCAGCTTCCAGAGATCGTGAACATTCTCCCCGAACCAAACGATCGAAAATCAACAGCAGATATATTGCCAAAGGCAAATTTATACACCAATAATGACGTGAGTACTTTTTAAATAAGAGATCTTAAAATACTTAACTTTCATTTTTATGTAAATTACACAAAAACAATAAGATTATCAAGGCAGTTAAATTTAAAAAAAAAATCTACTTTATGTAATTCTGCTTTCAAAATTTTACAAATTATGATATTATTGAATATATTTATTTCGATTGACAAATTCAGATATACGCGATTTATTATTCTCTTCACAAGGTAGAAGCAATTAACAGCATAGCAACTTTCGGATCGCTGGGCAATATTGTGGAAGACGAGGAAGATCCTCAATCAAGTATCTTCCGTGAAATCGATTTACCAATTGATTCTTCACTCGATACGGTATTCGAAAAAGATTCGGAAGTGCCCGAATCTGTCCTCAAAATTACGCCGAGTACCTTCACCTGGGGATCTGATGAAAATACATTAATGGTTAACGCTCTCAATTTTCCACGAGGTAAAACAAAGATATTAGATACATATAAAACAATAAAACAGTGTATAAATATAACAGATAAAAATATTTTGTACAAATTATTTAATAAAATAAATTAATATTTAGTTAAACAACAAATCAAGAACTTTATATTTTCAGGACAACTTACAATAATAGTAGGAAAAACCGGAAGTGGGAAAACTTCTTTATTGTTGGCGCTTCTAGGAGAAATTCAGAAAACAAGCGGAAGCGTTGAATGGACCAAGTAATTATAACAAAAAATAAAGAAGGAAAAATAAAATGATGGACCCCAATTACGATGATAATATATTTTTGTCAATTAAAAATATCACGCATCTTTTTAGAGGTTTGAAGATTGCCTACGTGGCGCAACAGCCATGGCTCCAAAATGCGACCTTGAGGGACAATATTCTCTTTGGGTCTGCATATCAATCGCGAAGATATCACAATGTCTTACAAGCGTGTGCTCTTCAACCGGACGTGGACATACTTCCCGGTCGAGATCTGATTAGGATTGGCGAACGGGGTATCAATTTGAGCGGCGGACAGAAGCAAAGGGTTACCATAGCCCGAGCTCTATACAGTGACGCCGATGTCATTCTCCTGGTCTGTTGGCTTTGTATCTTATGCGAATTATCAACATCAGCTTTCTGAACGAAATATTTACGTTCAAGTACAATTGCAAATTGTTTGCAGGACAATCCACTGTCGGCCTTGGATCAACACGTCGGTCAGCAGATCTTCGATTACGGCGTGAGAAAACTCCTACTAAGAAACGGCCGAACGGTGATTATGGTCACTCACAAATTGGAGCTGTTATCGGCTGCTCATCAGGTTTCATCTTATATTCTTAATATTAATATTTTTCAATTATGTTAGAGATCTATTTCATGAATAGCTAAATTTATAACTCTTTATTTTATCGATATTCGCTATGTGTATTATTACATTTAAAAAAATATGGAATCTATCTTTTGTTTTACATGTATGTTTCTATAGATATTTTTATATAGTTTCTTTATGCATATGTGCTAGAGAAATAATTTATGTCTATTAAAAAAGAAGCAGAGAAGTCACATACAAATTTATTTTAAGGTAATTGTCATGGATGGCTGTCGAGTTCGCGCGGTTGGAACAAAATCCAGTATCGAGGATGTGGATTCTGGATTAGCGGCGGAGTGGCGAATCGCGAATTCAAGGCGCGAAGGCGAGGATCACTTTCAAAAAACTGCCAGGGATAGATGGTCCTTAATCAAACTAGTCTATAAGATTGGAAAGAACAAAAGGAGAAGACACGTTAGTGACGGGTCGTGGATCACCGACCGCGATGCCCATGTGGTAAATGACAGAAAAAAAACAAGATATTTTAACGATATCTCTAACGGGGTTTATATGCAGAAATTTTACCGTAACATTAACGTTAAATCTGGATTGCAAATCTTTCAGAATCCGTCAGCGTTCGTACCTTTAAGACTGCGCCAAACAACTCCATCCGGATCGAGGTACTGGAGTCACATTCTCACGGATCTTTCGGTATCAACGGAAGAATGGGACACCGTCAGGAAACGATCAAGGACGCATCGCGACATCGTCAGATTGACGAGCCTCCAAGCGCAAAAACGGCCGCCACCGATTTTCCGACAGAGCAGCACGCCGATGATTCTTGAAAATCGACATGTGCCACCAAGGTATAAATTTTGAACAATTATTTCTCTCTTTCAAATGTATATAACGATGCGATCAGGTATCGCATCAGCAATCAAGAAATCTAACAAGTCAATTTTCACTCATAGATTATTAAATTTAAATGGATCTTTCTTTTACAAGGCTGTCGTTATTTATCGCAAATTTTTAATTTTCCATTTAAATATTTTTTGCGATTACAAAATAATTTATGTGAAATAATATACGGCTATATGTTTAGCACAGAATAGATTTACTGTTTCGCATTTTATTTTTGCATATAGGAAAAGGAACAACACTTACGACAACGGGCAGCCTAGCAGCGTGCTAAAGCAATTCTTCTCTGCAAGGTTTAACTTTTTTCTTTATGTATAATATAACATGATTTCTTATTATCACGGCAGAATACAATTAAAAAGTGAGAAAATAACAAAAATATTACTTTAGGTATTCAGATGAAACGGCAATAAGCAAAGACAGAAATGTTCTGTCTCGACTGATGCCAGGTTCTAACAAGTAATTACAACAGAATGAATTATGAAAAAAGAATTATAAATAAGTATCTAATCAAAAATTAAGTGTTTTATTCGTTCCTTTTAGGATTACTCCGCATCGGGATCAACATCATCATCTTCCGGTGAAACGATTGTTATCAATGGAATCGCAAACTACCGTTGACATAGATGACATGGAAGAAAGTTAGTTATCGAAATTATTTATATATGTTTTTAAATGTTTCTTCAAATTTTTGTATGCTCTTTTTTCATTTTCTTTTATCTTAAAATTTACAAACGGTATTTGTTTTCACCTCTAGTCTTTCTTTTAGCTTTGAACGATGAAGACGTGGATGAACCGGACGAACTAGAAGTCGACGATAAAAGTGGAATGGTCAATAAAATGATTTGGCTGGAGTATCCGAAGGCTGCTGGATGGCTACCGGAACTCGTTTACGCTATATCAGCGCTGGCCTTCCAAATCCTTCGCGTGTATATTGACTTATGGCTCCCTGAATGGCTAATGAAAAGCATTTATTCGCCAGCGAATGTAAATAGATGTTTAGGATATTAATAGCGTCACGATTTATTTTGATAAAACTATCACATTCAAGTATTGCTTAAAAATCCGTGATTAGAAGATCTGCAATTAACCCTCCGAGGCCATACCTCTTTTCTTAATACGCCCCGGCCACACTGGGGAGTGGTCGCTACCCCAGGCGAATTCAAAATCTCATAGTTTTAATTAATGCACGTAAAAATTCATGAAACATCTTAAGGGTGTTGTTCAAAAATATATATGGTATAGAACCCGAAATGTGCTCGAGGAACAAAAATATTGTAATTTTTGGTCGCGATAAGGAATATAGACCGAGGCCATACTAGGGTGGTCACCTATAATAATTTTCAAATGTTTACCAAACATAACTGACATGGCTTAGAGCCTTTCTACTGCGCGGATCTTCGAAAGAAGGACCCAACTAGGGATCCTGGGCATTCCTGGGTGGAAGGACACTGATTATAAACCCTATCATAAATATTGGGCCCTTTTGTTGGGATGGCCGCCACCCTATGTAGCCTTGAAGAGTTAATATCGATAATTAATTAATCGTAATTACTATCGCACACGCACATTTTATCAATATTATTGTCGAATAATTTACTACTATTACGAGAAGATATTGGCCAGTCGATATGCAACTTAAAATTCTAATAATGATTATTTTTGCAACTAAAAATGATATGACAAGCGCGGATGACATGTTCCTTAGAATAATTTTCGATCCTTTTTCAGACGAGATCCTACTTTATGATGTACATCATCATAACCGTGGGCTCCATTTTTTTATCAATACTCTATAACATATCCGGTCAATGGGCAGGTGTCAAAGCGAGACGGAAGTTACACGAAGAAGCTGTTGGTGGACTTTTCGGCGCTCCCGTCTCATTCTTCGAATATAATCTCATTGGAAAAATCCTGAGTAGGTTTAGCGCAGACATGAGTATCATAGATAAGGTAACTCATACTTTGATAAAATAAATTATCCTTCTCGTACCTTCACAATCGGTAATTGAATGTTACATAAATACTATACAAAATAATTAATGGATATAAAGTGTCATTTTAATAAAACTTAAATTAATTTCTCTGATTTTTTTCAAGAAAATGGCTACGGCAATCCAGAGATTGACATCTTTTGTACTACTCTGCGGCTCAGTGATTATCATCAATATTATTACGTCACCGTGGTTCTTGATCGCCGTTGTACCAATTAGTTGCGCTTATTATGCATTGCAAAAATTCTACTGGCGGGGCGCCAGACAGTTACAATGTCTAGATGGCAGGTATTATTAATAATTATTACGATATCGTATATGAACAATATGAGACAATACGTTTGCGAATAATTTATAGTCTAATTATATTTATCCTCAAATCGGAAAATTTTCATTAATTTTTCTTCGCTTCTTTTGGAACGCATTAATAATTATGTAAATTTTCATGTTTCAAGTACGAGAGGACCGGTAGTGGCATATTTCTCAGAAACCTTGTCCGGCCTTCCAACACTGAGGGCATTCAAGCAAGAGGATCGCTTCATGGGGGAGATGATGAAACGCCTTGACATAAACACCAACGCATTTCTCATTCTGAACACCAGCAGCAGTTGGTTCGGCATCGCATTGGTAAAAACAACCAGTCAAGTATAATAAATGTTTAAAAAATTTAGATTAATTTCTAGAAGATTTTCCAAAACTTGGTAATTGTAATTAGTATATTTGGAAATTAGTGTTATCAAGTTTATATATTTACGCAGTGTGTATTGTCGCAGCTTTATTATAAATAATAAATATATTGTTACATTACATTATACATATAAACCATATATTGATGAAACGTCTGATTTTAATAATAGGCGAATTTCATTGTCTCGTAAATAATTCCAGGATTATCTGGGCGCCGTTATCGTGGTAGTAGCTATCTGTACGGCTTTACTTTCGGCCGAATTATACCCAAGCCGTGTAACACCTAAACTAGTAGGCCTGGCAATCAATTATGCTCTCTTAGTACCAGTATTGAACTGGATGATGAAGTTCAGCGCAGAAGTCGAGTTATATATGGGGAGCGTAGCTCGAATTTGCGCATACAGGAACGCACAACCGGAGAAACTTGACGAAAACGGTAATTATTATTAGTATCCCTGCGTAGATCTCTTAATTTACAAAGTTCTGAAAAACTTGTGCGCGTTTTGGCGCTTGCGTTGTTGTTGATGAGAGATGGATATATGATGCATGTGGAGGATGTGTCCCCAAAAATATCATGCAACTCTGTGAGTCGCGATGGTGAGACTCCACGAGTATATGCCCTCAGTTCTTGTTATCCGATGAGATCGTCGGTGAGAGCGTCGTTCAGGGCGATTAATATTGTTGTCGAATTTATTTATACATCTTATAAGTCGGCGCAGCTGATATAGCCATGATATTACATAATTTTTAATTCGTGACGGGCGCAAATCAAATCCAACAAACAAGTGATAATTTTTTATTTTGAAAATTATATTATTTAATAAATATCGACTGACTTACTGTCTCGCAGTAATCTTCCGTCTTTCGGTATCATCGTTATCTATCAAAACGATATTATATTTCAGTTGTATTTAAATATCGATCAAAATCTGTCGTTTGGCGATAATCAACTTCCGGAATCGACTCAGTGATTTATTCGTGTATTATTGAAAATCCAATGTACAAAATATCAAACAATCGAGCAAAGATATCTTTCACGAAGTCGACTATAATATATTTACGGGTTATTTCCCGTTATTATCTTCCTTATCGCGCACACGGGCTAATTTTATCTACTCGATTTTAGGTTTACAGGTAGCCAATGACTGGCCTAATAAAGGCGAGATCTTTTTTGAGAATGTCTCTCTGCGCTACGATGCAGACAGAAATCCGGTGATCACAGATTTGTCTTTGAAAATACCAGCTGGGCAAAAGGTATAATAAATCAGTAACCCGTAGATAAAAAAACAATAGATGATATGATATGTATATAATATAATAATATGAATAAAATTATATGTAATAGTATGAGGACAATCAATCTAATCTCTAAGATTCTTTTATTTTAATGCAAAACAAAATAGAAATATATTACGTATATTTTAGGTATTTTATTATTACAATATTATTATTCGCAGTTGGGCATTTGTGGAAGAACCGGTAGCGGAAAATCATCGACCGTTATGGCCCTATTCCGATTGATCGAGATCAGCCAAGGACGCATCCTGTTGGATGGCATTGACATCCGGCAAGTGCCTCTTCGAATATTGCGATCGCGGTTATCGGCTATACCGCAGGATGCAATAATGTTTAGCGGCACGATCAGGTGCGCAGATAATACATTCGCAAATCTCTTATTATTGCGAAATGTCTTTCACGCGGCTGGCATTTCACAGTTGTATTCTCGTCGCAGTTATTCGCTAAACGTAATGCACACGGTGTTCATTTAAAAATTATATATGTGAGCTTAAATTTGATTATACTGTCCATTAGAGAAAATCTGGATCCATTTTCGGAACACGAAGACCAAGAAATCTGGCGAGCCTTGGAGCTTTCGCAAATCAAGGATGTCATAGCTTCGTATCCCGAAGGATTAAGTACGCAATATAATATAATACAATACGTATATTATTAATATCAATAATAATATGATAAATAACGTAAAACGATAAAATAAGTTCAAGATAACGATATAATGTAATTGAAGTTAATTTTGACGTAGATCTCGAGGTACGAGAAGGCGGCGAGAACTTTTCAGCCGGTCAACTGCAACTGCTTTGCATGGCACGTGCGATCCTTCAGCGATCGAGTATCGTCGTACTCGACGAGGCAACCAGCGCGCTTGACATAGCCACTGAGAAGTCGCTCCTGAAAGCGGCTGCTGTCGCTTTCGAGGACAGAACTGTGATCACCATCGCGGTCAGTAGCTACCCTATAAATTACATAAGATTTGAGAAACGCCTTCTAATATTTTTTTAAAACTTTTAATCTCGAAAACTTAAGCTCTTGTTAGATAGGAATAACATTTGAATGAAACTAATTTTTTTGTGCAGCATCGAGCGGCGGCTTTGTTGAATTGTGATCGCATCATTGTTTTCGACGAGGGCAAAATCATCGAAGAGGGCTCACCGGCAGATTTAATGCAAAGACAGAATGGAGTCTTTTCCGCGATGATCAAAGCGGTCGAGCAAAGCGGCGAACAACGATGAGAAAATGTCAATTAACTTTACAAATATATACTGTCGATTTAAGATACAAATTCAAAGACTGCTTTAGGATAGGAAAGTTTCTCTGTAACGACGTTATAAGATATATATGTATATACATATATGTATATGACAAAGCTTTATTTTTTGTATTAATCTTACGCGTGTGTGACTAATAATTTTATCAATCTTTATACAATATCTTAATTTTGTATAAATATATATGATAATTGTAATTTGTAAATATATAAAAGATCAAAATCCATACCTGAAGATCTAAACGCGACGCCCGGTATATCGCAGGATAAGAGTGCTAAACGATAATAATTACCAATATCCCCACGTCGTCGACTGTACCACCGCAGAAAAGGTGAGCGTGTTTTTCTGTTAGTGGCACCGAGGCCGGCCTGTCGATAGCACCGGAGTTGTTTCGCTTATCAGTACTTTTCGGCTTCGATCGGATGGGATCAACGCCGATAAGCCTGACACGCGTGGAATTCGATATAAAAAGAAGCTAAATAGGCGATTCATTGACACAATTGTCTCATGTATCATCGCGTGAAAGAGTTATATATACTTTCACCGGCGCGCGGATGTGACTAATAAATTAATTAAAGACAGTGAATTTTTTACCTTCTCAAAATTTGTAACAAAAGAATTATTTAAGCGCATTGTATATAATTCACAACGGCGATACAGCAATAATTATTGGTGAAACTTCAGTCTAACAATGAATCTGGATTTTCGATAATCAAGCCGCGTGACGTGATCGAACAGTCAAGTATTTAACTTAAGTGACAGTTGAAATCCAACAATTAGTGACAAACGATCGTGCGATTATAAATAATTCGACGTAGAGAAGTTACAAGAATGTAGCTGTGAACGTATCTTAAGGATAGTGCCATTTTCCTGAAGTAAAATTTTACACTTCATTGTACATTGGCGCAAAATCACACGGATAATTGGCGAGGCCCAGGAACGGCATCGTAAAGTTTGAGAGGCGAGTATTTCTGGCAAATTAACACATGCGTTATTATAGCAGATTGGACACAAGGCAGAATATTAACGATTTTTGCATCTTGACGTAGAGATTTATATAAAGGTGTCTGTAAAGCCTTTTACACTTTAAAGACTTTATTAATAATTTGTATTCTGACAACGTGTAGACATATCATGAGATTTAACAATCTCCTAAAATTAATTTATATAAAAACTAGAAGAAATCAGCTTTCTCTTGTACGCAAATATTTTGTTAATTGCTTTTATCTTCTATCTTCCAATTAGCCAATGTTATAAGTATTTCAAGATACACAAGAGATTGACAGCAATATTTCTCACTATAACTTTTATTATGTGGCACAAAAATCATAGTTTTTAGAGATTCACAAAATCAACAAAATTTAAATCTAAAATTATCAAAGAAATAATACAACGTAAATATGATATAACGACTTATTTTTTAACTCATTAGCTATTGTAGAGAACCTTAGATAAAATTAAGTTAAGTTGCAATTATTTTTCAAACAACAAACGTTTAAGTTCTCGGAAAAAGGGCTATCCCCTTTGTTTATCTAATGTTGCTATCTAATTGTTAGTAAAAAAAAAGGCGGATGATAAGAAAGAAGGGGGATTGCCCGGATTGCTAATCTCGATGAATCAAAGCGGAGAGATAATGAGTGAAAACGTAATCATTTAAATAAATAGATTACAATTGAAAAATCGAATTTATAAGTGGATAAATTTTAATTACTACAAGAAAAATATATTAAAGCACTAAAATAAGTAGAACTGATTGCCGTAGTATTAAAAAAAAAACAAGTGGTGAACATGATAAAAGCCCGTGATAAGAGACTATCATTACGCAGATAAGAATGAAGAAAACGTAAAGGCAAATGAGATCAGAAGAAAATTCTATTAGTTTGTTAACTTAGGTAATCGTCGATAAATTAAAAGAGTCTCTTTCTGAGATTGCTAAGTCAATAATAGGTCTATAATTTCTAGAAAACGAATGAATGTTTCTTACAATTAATTGTTTTTAGAAACGGTAATCTTAACAACAGCGTATTGGCAATATCTTCAAACACGATGGCGTCTATATTGTAATACTTAATAATCATAACTTCAAACACTTATTTAATTGCTTTGTCAATGTCATTTAATTACCGTCGCTGACACATACTAAAATTTCGCGAGGGAACGTCGTCGGATCGGATGTCTGAACTCTTGGAGTTCAGTTTCCTGATGTATATTGAAAATTTTAGACACGTGTATAATTTTCGTTCTTCACTAATGTGAGAATGCAAGCTGAAGACATTGCTGAATCTGCATGATAACATACAGACAGATATTACTATTAATATTCGAGAAACATTTATTATCTCATGCTTAAACATTTTACTTTAGCCTTGGAAATGGACTTCTGCATGTGTCAGTAAATTAATATGCTTATATAAATATTCCTTTTATAATATGCGAAATATACATATCATTAGTACATGTAAAATTAGCATTTTAATCTTTTAATTGCAATAGCATTTAAACTAATAAAATAGCTCAATATTATTTCCAATTTGCACGAGACATTATTCCATCTAATAAATATCGTTTACAAAAAAAAATATACAAGAAATATATTTTTTCGTCAAGTTTAAATTATCAATTTTTTGTAAAATAAAATGTTATGTAGTAAAACCTAATAATTATCGTGCGCTGATCTGTGGCAAATTTATTTTCAATAGTTCGCAAGTTTTTGCTTATTTTCGAGAAACAAAAATAAGAAAACGATAAAATAGTTACAAAAGCAAAACGTTTTACCGTTACTTGTGGCTCGTATACGTATATAACGAAGTAAGCAGAGATTAAATTAATATTGTTGCCCGGCGGAAAAAATACAAAATTTTTCCTGTTACAATTGCTTGTACGAGCGCTCGACAAGGAGCGCACGAAGTCGGTTTTATTAATGGAAAAAGAATAGACTCATTAGATAAGATGCTCGCGCGCCACATATACCTGCCTGTTGACACTGCTCGTCGCCGCTCTGTTATCGGCTAGATAAGATTTCTGCGTCTTTGTCGTACTTGAGGCATCAGTCGAACGCGCGAATTCGTGCGGTACACCTCCGTGCGGTCGTACTAAAAAAAAAAAAAAAGATTTATGTCTTTTCGCTCCGAGATCAAGCGAGCGGAAAGCGCATAAATCTTCCTTAATATCACGTTTCTTCGTCCTTCAAGGGCCTACCCCGGCGCGGGATTGTCAATCTATCTTGAAAGATTTCCCTACGTCAACCTGAAGGGTGAGTCTCGAAAGGCGGTCTGAGCGTCCCTAATTGTGTTTTCGAATTCGCTCTGTCGAGAGGACAAAGCGATGATAAATATTTGATTCTCCTCACGCACATTTTTATCCGCGCGATCGATTATCTAATCAATCCACGGAAACATCGATTCGTGTCCCTGATACCGTTCTAAATCAATTTCAAGATCGACTTGCATTCCGAGACCGATAAACCAAAGAAGTCTACCAAGAGATAAGTTTCCGTAATTTCATCAATGCTGCAATGAGAACATAAATACTCTGTTAATAAATAATACTCGATTTGTACAATTATTCCGATACCTAAATTTAATGCTTTTGAATAAAAATGTAAATTTGCGGCCAATTAATATTAAAATTTTAATATTAAATATATTGTACTATTTTTCACGTCTTTTCTAAAGACCATTATACAGTGGAAAAATTTAGTTTTCTTAAAACAGATAGTGAATGTTAATTACATTTTTAGCTTTTATTGCCACATTTACATCCCCTATTTGGTTTTATCTCTATAATAACTTGTGAAAACTTGAAGAAGGGCAAGCGGTGATCGACGAGTCGAAAGTAATGACTAAATAAAGCCACAAAAGCCTATTCATCACAAAGCAAACGTCATACGCACGTAACACGACGCACGTGTGGCGTCAAGAAAGTTAATTACTGCCATACACATATGCGGGCATAGATGAAGTTAATTAACCTCGGCAACGATTGTCGATACAGTTGATTAAACGCGCCAGTAATAAAGAGGCGCCTATGTAACTGACGTTACCAAACAATATTGCCTTAATTGTCCGCGACTTAAAATGTATACGCAGACCTCTTTGCAAATATACCGATAAAATGTCGGGCAATGCTCATTCGTTCGCTACCTTAACACACATAGCACGTGTTATCGTCGCGTTTACGTTATAAAATGTTTGCAAAACATAAAAATATCATCACGTGAAGTAACGAAGATTAAAACTGGAAGTTCATAATTAGCACACACACATGAGGAGATCTCTCATGAGAAGATGGAGTTCAATGATTGTACATTGGAGGGGCGCTTTCAAGATTTTCTGTAAATTCCAATTATTAACCGAATCATTATCTTTCGCGAATATTACAGTATTAAATTCGTAATGTCAAATTAAGTCATATTTTTAACCATTCCTATAAGTCGCCACTGCTCCTAATACTCAATGCCGTTAATTTAACTTAATAGAGTTAAAATAATACTGTTTTATATTAAAATAATAAATTTCGGCACACATGGTGGTTAAAAATAACAAAATATTATTTAGCTTAAGGTATTCAAATTTCATCCTTTAACAGCGTACGTTCGATTTAAAAATACACACGACCAAAATGTTTTAAAATTTAGCAAGACAGGAAATATTATACTTATGTATATCATTTAGCTTTATCAGTTTTCCGTAACAGCGACGACGCGCGTGCATGCACTTAGATATTGCCAGTCTGTTTTCCGTCGGGGAAGTCGACAGCGCTCATTGTGCAACAGATTACAATATTGTTACGTTCCCGTCATTTCCGCGACTCGCGACCTCGCAAATTTTTACATAAACATCAGCTGAGCTAAAAGAGACAAAGCGAAAAAAGTGTCGCGTGATGCGCTGCGCTAGCAAGTCATGTCGAGCGCATCGTTGCACACCGAAGTACGAAGCACAGTTAGTCCCCTGAGACCTTAATTTCGAGTCGTTAACGAGACATGGTCATTTCAGAGACAGGAAATGTCGTTTCGCATTAAGAACGTGGAATTGCGTGTAATCGTCGATCGACTGCCGTTTTAGTTCTCGTTTTCCTCGTCCGCGTGCATTTTTTCCTGCATAAAATATAACGATTCCATATATTATAATTTACGAATTTAAAATACTTATTATATTGATTTTATTATTATTACGATTATTACGATGTGCAAAATATAAATAATAAGTAATAATAATTAAACACATCAAGCAAATATCGTATAAATTACATCATTAAACTTTTACATAACCACCAAAATCTAGCACTACAAAATTATTTAGAGTCAAAACCAGCAATCAATTAAAATTATCCTGAGTCAAAAAAGAACGATATTACTTTAAACTCAACACAAAGTTTAAATTCTAAGAAAGAAACAATTACTTAGATCGACATTACTTAACCATTTATGGAAATTTATGAAATACATTTACGTACTTAAACTGTAAAGCTATTTTATGACTGATAATTAATTAGTGAATTGTGCTCAAATGATTAAATTATTGGAATTAATTAAATTAATTAAATTATTTTATTATACTATAAATTTTTCTTGCTGCGTGCAACGCGTGGGTAGCATTATATTGTTTAAAAGTTTCAGTTATAAAACCTGAGGTGCTATTTCAATACGTTTTATGTTTTTCTATTACATAAAAGTCATCTAATTAGTTTATACATTATGCAATACCGGAAGCGCGAGACTTTCTTATCTTTGATTTCTGGACGCGATGGGCAAAACGCGTGATTTGCCCGCTCGGATAATGAACAACGATAGCATCGCTTCGTTAATTATAGTTATATAATATTCGTAGCTCCATGCGCGCGATAGGATCTCACAGGCTTGAATTCAATTACTTCACAGCGATGTAATTGCTTGCGAATTGCTTCTGACACAATTTACCTATCGCAGACAGTTTCGAAACATTTCTTTTTTATCATTAGCATGCTCTTGCGGAAAGAAACGATAAATGATAATGAATTTTCAAGAATCGTTCCGTAGAAAATCATTTATTAATTAATTGATCACACGCAGAGCTTATCGTGGACGCCCAACGAACGTATATTCGGTGGATGAGCTATATTTAGGGTTTTGGCAATCGTTTGCTCTTGTGTTTAATCAAATAGCGTTATCATGGCCCCGATATAGTATACGTACAACCCGATACGAGCCGACCTTGCATCTGCAACGTATAAGGAGGCCATGTATCATTTGAGAATTATACAGAGCTTCAAATTAAGATTGTGTCTGCATCAGATAGAATTATAGTAATATTCTAACAATAATGTAATGAAGAACTATTCCGAGAAATCTTATGGAAAGATACGTGACACATAACAATTACGTGGATTATTTGACAACTGATGAACTTAATATAAAGAACTGAAGCATATTTTCCTTGGAAAATTGTAAAAACTTTTTCTTAAAAATAATTAAAAATAAATTTTCTTTATTATAGATTATTGTAAAAGCTAGAAAGGTAGAAAAGCTGAATAGGTTCCACAAATACAGGAAACGAATATCAAAACTTTCCAGACAATTTTAAATTATCAACTCTATCTTTTATTTGGAGTATTATCAGAATGTTTGATGTCAGAAATTCAAAGATTCCGAAAAGAATAGTATTTCTTCCAATGTTGATAGAAGAAAAGTTATTTTATACCAAAGTCGCGAAATAGTAATAATTACTAATAACCGAGGTTTTTAAAACGTCGTGAATAATGGGTACGTCTAAAAGATATCACTTCGAGATTCCTGCGTTGTTTGCATATTGGTGATAAAACGGAGTGACACCTCACGGGCCTCGTGAAACAATACCCGAGGGAAGATTAGAAGTGAAAAACAAAATAGATACAGTATCATGTGCACCTTGCGAAAGATTCTAATAAAACCGAATGAATCACTTTGTCACGGCGCGACAAAATCAACAACGCGGCCTGAATTATCGAGTGATTTCACAAGATGCATGCCGGCCTTGTCGCGAATCTTCTGTGAAAGAGCACTGCTGAGGAGAACAACGATCGCGAGCCTCTCAGCTTTTAGTGAAAAATTGAAGATGTTCCTGTGCACTTGCAACTTGGCAGGCAATTTATATCTATTCAATAGAACAAGCGATGTAACTTTCATTAGATCGTTCTTTTAGAGGAGCAAAACATGAATCTTCCGGCAGTAGCTTAAACAACACGTGCATCAATGGCACCGGCCTGCCAAACTGAATTTTCTAGACGTATTTTAATTATAAGAAAATTACGAAAAGAAGAAAAAGAAATTATTGTTAAAATTATTATATATTTAGTTTCTAGATAGACGAATAAAAATATCTTCAAGATAAATCTTTAAAATCTTTTTTATATATAAAATATATGAAATTAATTGATAAATCACCGTGAAGTAATAAAAAGTATTAAATATGCAATGCAAATTGCAAATTCATGATTGCAAGTGACGTTTATTGCAATACTTATAATGCATTTTGGAAGTCAGCATATATCTTTATAGAGCTTCTTTCCAGAAGAATTAGCGTAATCGCGAATTGGAAACCTTAACGAGAAGGAAAAGATGATCGGGCTTGGTAGAGAGTCGAGAATATTCTCATCATCAGCATGTGCTAATGCATTGTGACGTCAAGGTACAATATATCACGTGCACCAAACACCATTAGCATAAGCATGTGACTGGTGTGGAAGCAATCGGCTCACTCTCGCGACGAGACCGAGTCGCATATGAAAAAAGAGCTGCGCGTCGAAAAGTGGAGTAGTTATAGGATGAGCGTAACGCGAACCGAACGAGTCAGAAGGCTCAGCGAAGGAATCGAGTGCTAGTCATGAGTGACTTCCGCGTGAAGCGATATTGAAGAATAATCACCTGTTTAAAGCCGCTATGAAGAAAGAAACGTGACACGTGAGTGAGTCATGAGTGACCGAATATAATCACCGAATAACTGTAGCATTACGTGTTCCGCTCAATTATGACTGTCAGCTTAATTAAACATTTCTTCGACGCAAGTGGGACATAATTATTAGTGAAATATGTTAAATGTATATTCAAATGTGAGACAAAGTTATATGAATCATCCTAGATGCCAAAGACGATTAAATTATTTGCCTCTTAATTAATTTGTCAATTTAGCTAATTGCCCCGCGGAAAAAAAATAATTAAATCGCTCAGACTTTGATTTTTGATAAACTAATGAAGTAATCTTTCTTTAATGTTAAATATTACTGTGACATAATTATGGATAAAAATTACGTTGTAAATTAATTAACGTGCTATCGATAGAAACGCTATCATTGATAAAGACAAAAAATATTAAAATATCGCTAAATTTTACTGTATACATAGTGTATATTTTGTGAAGACTTGTGTGTATATAAAAAATAGAATTAAATGTTTTGTACCACGAATTTTCAATGTATAATTTGCATGTCGTTTATTTTATTTTTACAATAAGCCTGTTCTTTTCAGCTGAACTTCTGTACGGTTCATCTTTCCTCTTTTTCTTTTCATGTTGGAGAGAAAAAGAGAAAAGATGAACCTTGCAAGAAGTTTAGCTGAAAAGAACAGGCCTAATGTAAATCTCTGTATCTTTTTTTTTTCCAATAAAACAATACAAACTCTATAGACGTTTAAAATAAATTGCGACGTGTTTTCTTTTCAGGCGTCAAAAGAATTTGCTTTGGACATGCATTGGACGAAGATAACATGAGGTTCTCGTGCTTTCCGAGAGCCAATATCCTCGGGCAGAGGGGTAGCATCAATCTCACCCCTCTGCCGGGCTACGAGGACTCTTCCAGCTTCACTATAGGCGTCGTACGTCTTATTAACGTAATTCATAAATGAATTGTTCGTCATTTAAAGAGACATGAATCCACGCTTCAACTTTTTGATTTAATTGAAAAATGCCGCTTAAGGTAGTCCTTTCGCAGTACCCAGCCAAGCAACACAGTCCGCCGTGAGGCAACCGTAAACAAACACATTGCGACATCCCAACAATTACGATAATACAAAATACGATTCACACGCACGATTCAATCGCATTCAACCATTCACCAATCCAAAAAATACAACAGTAGTATGCGGTTGGACTCGATTCTAACTTAAATCGAGTCCAACCGCACCACCACTGTTGACACTTTTTCAATTAGCAAACAATCAAATACGATTAAATCGCGCTCGCAAAATCACATTTCACATCACTACAACTACTGGAAATGCTGCAATATGCCTGCCATCAACCACCTCACGACGGACTGCCACCCGACCAAGTGCCGCAAAAGGACCACCTTAAAAGTAAAAAAGCTTTTTTTTTAATTAAAATATTCCCATTTCCATTAGATACGCCCGTTACCTGGTAACTTGCCTTCGTTAACTGTAAATGGCACCGGTCCAACATCGTCCGCATCATCAAC